AGGACTATTTTTACCATTAATTATTCTCATTTACATGGTAAAATTACTTTATTACTTGACTGTAGTTTACATGTAGGGGTATTAAACCTCTTGTAGCTTGATCTAATAATTCCATTTGCACAGATCGGGGAAAGTGAAATCACTGATGGGCAACAAATTCAGTGGAAGCCTGCAAACAATTTCTGTGATACTAAGATATGCCTGTGCTTACCCTTCAACCTTTCTCCATTTCCCTTGGCAGTAATTTGTGAGGAGGTCCATGAGATTGCACAATTGCAGACTAATGTCAAGCTACTTATAATTTCTCCTGATATTGTTAAGATTAAATGCTTAGTACAATATTGTCCTTTAATATTTTCTTCCTCAATTTGGTTTGCCTGACACCAAGCTTGGTTTTTGGCTGTAAGACATTAAAATAGATATTTTATCATAAAATAAGAGCAGTTCATGTCAGCCCCCACTCCTGCCTCATGTCTTATTCAGGAATACCAACAGGCAAGCAAAGGCAGATTACAGAAATAAGTAAATCTGAATGACTGGACTCTGTCTAGGGATTCATTAAAAAAAAAACAGCCAAAGAGAAGGGTAAATCCAAATTAATGACTCTAAATCGACAGCTTTAGTGGTGTTGGCTTCTTTCCTTCTCACTTGATTTTAATTCTTCCTCTTCATGCTTCATCTCCCATCATTTCCCACATGTTCTCTTGCTTGCACTGTCTGTTGCTTTCTCCAGCTGCTCCCTTGACTACTGTAACTTCCAGGGTTTTTCTGGTTTTGGAGCAGATATTTCCATAACCACATACTTCTTAGATATTTTATTATTCTTTCTTCATCCCCTGTTATTTTTCCTCCTTCTTGCCAGCAAAAGTTCACTTTGTGGTCCTGATGAGCAGAATCCCAAATGGTTTAGCACCCACACCCTATCCAATCCACTTCTCAAACAAAAATACTCCTTTGCAGCTTAAGGGCATGGTATCCTCAACCAGAGCAGAAGGATCTACCTTTGCATGCCAACAGGATAGGATCCATAAAAAATTCATTTTGTGAACAAAAGCCTAACAACAAAGAAAATTCTGTCTCATTCGCTTACCCCACCATCAGAACCATATGCCAGCCTGCTATGCTCTTTTCCCTTCCCTTCCCTTCCCTTCCCTTCCCTTCCCTTCCCTTCCCTTTCTCACTCCTTGCTTTGATAACAAATTTCATTATAAGTGTTTTCTCTGTCATTCCAGCAACTGATTTTTTTCCTAAAATTTTCTTCACTTGAAGGTGTATTCCTTTTCTCTGTACTCCTTTGTGTACCTTGGGGGTCAATGGAGATGCTGAAGTTAAGCAGGGCTCAGCCTTTAATAAACCAAACACCCTTCCCGACAAGGCTTGAGCAATTACTGAGTCAGTGTAAAGATTCACCAAGTGTGAATCTATTTTTTATTAGAAGTTGATTTAGCTTAAACTCTACTTCCAAAACATACTTCACTCCACTGAGACAAGAGAAGATGTTACAGTCTCATAAATACTGCATGCTTAGGCATCCCTTTGATTTCTCACAGGAAGCCAGGATGCAATAATTGCTCTGCTAAAGCCTGATGTACACTCTGGATACCAGCTAGGTGAATTCCTCAGACCCAATCCAGCTTTCTCAGGTGCCTTTTCATTCACAGCTTAAACTCCATAGAATAATAGGGCAACAAGTCAGCAGTTGCTTCTCATTCGTTTTTTATTATGTTAACCTTGGCATGGGGGGGTGGGGGGTGTGCTACCTATGGGAAGAAACCTCCTCAAATTCCTGAGGGGCTCAGGGGAGCTGGGGAGAAGGGAAGGAAGGGTCAGCTGATTCTTCACTCCAGTGCAGTGGTGAGGGTCTGGGCTTGGAAGAAAGGGCAGGCTGGACCACAGTTCTGCTGTCTCCAGATTTAGCTACACAGAGGTTAACAGGGTATCAAGGACATCGTGTATCTGGACTGACCAGGCCAAGCTCTCAAATACAGGATCTCCCCCTTGTGTCCTAACAAAGGTCATTTTCCTTGAGATGCTATTTTTAACCTGAATTTTAGAAAGAGATTTTTTCCTCAACTCCCTTCACCCCTCTGTGGCCCTGGGAACTCTGATATTCCCAGCACCAAAGCAGGAGAGGAGCCTGTTCCTGGCGTCAGATTTCATGGGTGGCTGTAGGGAAGCAGTAAACTGTTCCTGGCAGATAAACCGTGAGCAGGGGAGGAGGCTCCTTTCCTTCTTTTTTTTTCTTAATGCAGTTATTATCTGATCTGTATCCTTTAAATAAATATATATGTCCTTGCTTCTACCAACTCTGGAGCTGGCTTGTGATAACTCTTTAATTCCACCCATCCGTGCTTAGACAGTAGCTGGCCCAGCAAATGGTACATCTCCAGGTATAGCTCCCAGGGCTCTTGTTAAGACTCATCTGACCTAAATCTCGCTCATTATAAACAACCATAAATGTTGGTTTTGTTTATTTTTTTTCCAAACAAGAGCAGTTACGGGAATATGCAATTTTGCTTTTGCCATTTATAACTAACACCCGCCCCCCCCCGGGCATTTAATATAAATGACAATGAAAGAAGAATAAAATAAGGTCTGGTTTTGATTTCATTTTTATATGGCTCATCTCTGAGGTTTTGCATTTATTGTTATTATTGTTAGCACATTCCTTTTTTCTTTCCTCAGCCTTTGTTCACAGATTTGCACTTGAAGAGCACATTACCTCACTTTAAAAAATAGGGTTAATAGCTGCCTCTTCTTAGAAAGGCTTGAGATTTCTAAGTATATGTAGATATGTAAAAATTAAAGAACTTGGTGAAACGTGAAAGGCCTGAATCTGTGCTCAATAAATGCTAAGTACTTACCAGTATTAAATGACAAAACTCTGTATTTGGATGCCTTAAGGTTGGGAAGCTATGTTAGCTTCAGGAAACCTTGCTGTGACAATTTTTATAAGCAAGTATCATATACCACCAAACAGGTCTCACATTACAGAGTTGCAGCATATGTGTTGCGTACCATCTACGGTGACTGGAGCACTATTAAAAGATGTGCTTATAAATTATATACCGTATTCATGGTATTTACCCTGAATGAGGGTGCAAAGTAAGGGGCTGGGGTGCTCCTCTGAACTAGTATCTGAACGATCTTTTCGGTGTTGTATCAAAGCCTGAAGTGATGCACATCTAGACGCAAACAGCGAAGTTTGGTGTCGGGATCCCAAGGAGCGGTTCGGACCGGGATGCCCAAGAGGCAGCAAGACTCCACGGTCTCCCCTCCCTGAAATTCAGTGCGAGAAGCCGCCCACGCCGCCGGGGTGCCCCCTCGTGTCCCCCAGCCCGCAGAAGGCAGCTGAAGGGTCGCTCCCATGGCCAAAGCCCGGTGCCGGGGGGCTGCGGGAGCGCTGTTGCCGCTCCCCCCGCCCGCGACCATCCGAGCACAGCGGGGCGGTGGCTGGGCCGGCTTGAACCCCCCTGGGCACACCCGGGGAGGGGGTGGCCGTGCCTCCTCCCTCCCCCCGGCCCGGAGGGCACCGCGAGGCTCCCCCGCTCCCCGCCCAGCCCAGCCGAGGGGGCGGCAGCACCGCCCGCCCCTCCATCCATCCATCCAACCACCCACCGCCCTTCCGCCGCTGCCTCCCTCCTTCCCGGGAGCAGCCGGTGCGCACCGGGCGGTGGAGCCACCGCGCTTCGGCTCCGCCGGGGGACGCGGGGCGGCCACGCTTGGCCGCGGCGGGAGGATGCGTGTGCGGGGTTGGCGACCTGGCATCGCGTCGGTGCTTGGATCCTCCCTCCTCCTTCTCCTCCTCCTCCTCCCCTCCCTCCCGCTCCCCGCCTGGCAGCGCGGGGCTGGGGAAGTTGCGCTTCCAAGCGAGATGGCTTCGCAGCGGCGATCGCTTTGAGAAAAGGGCTCCCCCTCCCTCGCCTCCCCCCCTTCGCCGCGGCCTCCGAACTGTAAGTGGCAGGAAGGAAGTAAAGTTGCAAACAACCTGCAGCGGCAGGAACTTTGTGAGCTGCTCCAGCTGCATGTGTTCAAGGTGCCTTTGATGTACGTGCAGCAGCTTCTGGAAAGTGGACTGCAGCTTTCCCACCCGCCAGCCCTCCCTCTCCCCCACCCTTCCCAGCCTCCCCTCCCACCACCGCCACTTCAGCCCACACACGCAATTTGTTTGAGAAGGAAAAAAAAAAAAAGTGATGAACAAGAAGTGGTGAATTACCCAAGCGACTTTCCTCAAAGAGCGAGCGAGCCGGGGAGAGGAGCCGCGGCGAGCCCCGCGCAGCGCCGGGAGGGACCCGCCGGGCGCCCGCCGGGGACCGCGGGGCTGCCGGGGTGTGAACGCGGCTCCGCAGCGAGATGCAAAAAGCCTTATCTGCTTGCGTTTGATTTGCGATGCCGGCTCCTCACTAGAATGCAAACCCTTGCACAGGATGAAAACAGGTTTGTGGCAAATTCTCCTGGAAATGTTCCGCTCCCTGCCGCCGCCACCTTCCTGTCTGAGATGTCAGAGGAGATCTTAATGATGACACGGTGGCAGATACCTCTGCTGCGTACCCTCCACTGTTCTTTGGAAATGTTCAGGCAGAGGCAGCTGCCTTTTCATATCTGTAGCGACTGCTGCACAATCTGCACTTGATTGCAGTTAAAATATTCTCTTTAGGATCTGTTTGACAAAATGATGCAAAATAAACACAGATGGGAGAAGTGGGGGAGAGAAAGCTATAATGAAGTACTGGTGATGGATTGATTTTCCCTTCTTCCCCCTCTCCCCCCAATGCTCTACCTCCAAATGTGAGCCTTTTCTGAATGAAAACATTGCTACATCTCTGTTTTAAAGCGAAGATTTTGGGGGCTTTTTGGCTGGGGTTTTGGAGGGAGGCTCCCATCAGCGATGCTTGCCTTTTTGATTGACTTTCTTGAATGTCTGTGGCTGTCCAGCCTATCAGCTTTTATCTTGGTTCACTTGTTTTAAAGTATGTCTTGTTTCTTCCAACACCTTGCAGGTCATTCTTCCAGAATGCCAGAGGAAAGTTCGCCAAAGCGGAGTCCTCAAAACATCCCATACAAGGACCTGCCCCATATCATCAATGCTGATGGGCAGTATCTCTTCTGCAGGTATTGGAAGCCAGCAGCAACTCCCAGGTGAGCACTTGAAAGCAAATGTCCTTTTTTACTATCAGTAAATAAGACTCTATTCATGTAATTATTATTTATAGCTTGACTGACGTTACAGGGCTGTCTGCATGGAGCTTTACAGAGCCACTGAGAGAGATTTCTCTCATCTGAGAGAGCCTCTACTGTAAAGACTGTATTCTCCAAACGTTTACTTTCTCGAGTCAACCTTACAGATGTAGAACACGGAGTTACTGTCATTCCATGCACAGCTGGCTTGGTTGGCAGTTTGTTTTGCTACCGAGTGGCTCTGGCAGGTGGCTGATGCCTATCAGCAATAAACAACTAAACTAATGGCACAGGCAGTTAGGGAGGGGTGGGATACAGGCTTAGAGATGTCCACTCTTTCTGAGTTTCTCAGTGTCAGCATATGAAACATCAGCAGCATCTGACTTTGGTTTCAACAGTAGTAGCCGAAATCTGAGGGCAACAGGCAGAATGTTTGACAGCATTGTTTTTGACCGTTGTTTGGTTTGTTTTAAATTATTTATAGTTTGTAAATGATTTAGGAAGCTTTTTCACAGTCACCTGCAATTTCAAAGCTGGCCCGTGTAATAAACACGGACAAAGAACCAGACAGAGAAAATTTTCTAATATTTTTGTCATAATTTAAATAATCCTTTTACTGTAATAGCTTTCTGTGCTGATTATGATCTGCTATAGAAAGGTATCTTTGCTACTCCCATAGTTATGATCTTCCAGTATCTGCTGGCTTGGCATGTATTTATGCTGCCACTAGTTATTTATGTAGGTACCTACTTCATAAAAATCTGGATATTGTTTTATTGTTTTCTTTTTCTGTAAGCCAACAGGAAGAACTGTGTTAATTTTACAGAGCTAGAAAACAGTCACAGGAAAAAGTTGTTCAAGCTGTTGTAGGGAGTTAAACTTTATCCTTGACCACCCAACAGGTTAGACATTATCCTGCATCCGAATCTGCAACTGCAGCTGCACTGAGAGAGGGATACGTGTCCAAATTAGCTGGCTTTGGGTTTTATGACTACAAAACTAAGAGACAATGGGAATAACATAGGGCTGGGTGAGCACCCAGGTAACGTAGAGGGTGGACAAGCACTGAAGTACACTGTCCCCAGAGGGGAGGACAGTGCAGCTACCTCACCACAGCTCCATCATACTGGTTGGGCTGTAGGACAGGGGTCTGGCTTAAGATCACCTGGCCCATTTTAGAGTTTTTGAGTTACTTCTACTCACTGCCTTTCAGAAACAAGGGGGAAAGTTTTTGGCACCAAGGCATTACACACAATCTTTGTGCCAACCTGAAGATTTCCTCTACAGAAAACAAACACTATGAAACTAAGCTTCTACTGTGAAACCAGGCTGTCTTGTATTATAATGCCAATTAATCATTAACTACCCATGACCTTCAACACCCAGTTGTGGAATTGCTTTTTTTTTGTGTTTAATTTTTTACAAAATTAGTAGTGAGAGGATGGGTCTTTGTTCCAGAAATGAAAGGATGATAAAGAGCTGAGAGTTAAAACTTGGTGTCCAAGTCCTCCGAGTAGTTAATTTTTTTTAGAGCTCTGTGCACCAAGCAGTTAATTGAGAGTGAGCTTGCCCTAGTTTTGCAACAACAGAAGTGGATGGAATCAGTGTTGCTCATTTGCAAGTAGTTCCTGAGTGCATGCATGTGTGTGTGTGTTTGCGTGTTTGTGTATAAGGAGGGGGTGTACTGTTTATTATTAGCTCTTCATGCATTGTTATGTATGAGAGAGATGGTAAGTGACTGAATAACAAGTCAGTGCCTGGATCCTACAGTCAAGAATGCTCTGGAAGTGCATTTATAGGCAGACCAAAAATACAATATTTTTCCCCCGTCACTTCTCATAAGAACCTCTGCTTTTCTGCTTCCTGTGTAGAAGCTCAGCAACTTTCATCTAATTTTAAATGTGCAGCAAAAGTGATCTCTATATATATGTATAGGGAGAGAAAGACACCTCAGGGGACTTTTACAGGCCCGTTACAATTTATTTCAAGCATTGAAGGCAGTTCTTTCAATCTTCTAACTCAATTGTTGATTCAGGTTCAAATCTTAACGCTAATGAATGATGCTATAACGGTCAAACGGTGGGATCTTTCATTGATCCATTATGTGTCTAATCCCAGCTAGGGCTACAGAAATACCTCTTCACTGCAGATGCCCAAAGGTTATCATTGACTTGTCTTCTGTTAGAATAGAACTTACCGTCCTTGATCCCACCCCCAGGGAGGGGGAAAAATTAAAAAGTAGCCCTAGCCTGGGGTGGAAGAGCAGACAATGGCCAGGCAGTCTCTGAAAGTTGGGACAACTGATAGACATCACCCCTTGGAGCTGATGCTTCTCTTTTATTTCCTTGAAGAGCCCCACAAAGATGGATAAACGCTGTGGCAGATTAATATGCTGTAGCATATTTAAAAAAAACCCCACAAACCAAAGCAAAAAACAAACAACAAACAACTATTTTTCAGGAAGAGAGGAAAATTTCGTGAGGCTTTATTGCTTCGTACTCACAAATACCCAGGCTCTGATCCTGTGTGGTGTTGATCTGACTGATCAGCCCATACTGGTGCACATATGGAAGCTTTGTTGTAAGTGCCACCGAGGCCAAGGTTGTCCTGCCAGTGAAAGGCACCTATTGTGAGTTCCTCAGCAGGGTCCGCTTTGTTTCAAAGGGGGATTTAGGTGATTACTTCACAGGAAGCTGACACACAAAGGCACTCAGATGTCATAATGATTAGATGGGGTAGATGGAGTAGGTAGTAATGGCATTAAGGAAGGAGAAAGACAGTGTTTTCCACTTGTTTTTCGGGTGGGAAGTCACTCCCAACAGCAGAGCTGGAGACTGGGTGTTGTCTTCTCTTGCTGCCTGCTGGCAGCAGTGCAGACGCAGCTTCCTTGGTCAGCAGCCCTGCAAGCTGCCCAACTTGTTGAGCCAGTTCCATCTTAAAATGTAATTAAGTGGTCTTGTTGAATGCAGCAGGGAAGAAAAAGCAGAATGTTCTGGTGTCATTTCCATACTTTGTGTCAACAGCAGGATTTATGGAGAATGAAATCGGGTAACTCTTTGGCACTGAGTGCTTACTACTGAGTGCAACACAAGATTTGGACAAGGCAGGGCATTTTCAGGACTATGTAATGTTTTTTGGAGGAATTAAATCATTTGTACCAAACAGGATTGATCTCATGCCTATACCATGTCCCAGTAGCCAAAGAAACCCTACTTAATGGGAAAGCAGTAATTGTGTAAACAGAAACAGCAGCTCCATGCAAGGTTAAAACCTCTGCCATCACCCTGAGAACTCTGAGTCTAAATATAAGGTAACAGGGAGGTGAGAAATTGAGGAACCATTCTCTATTCCCAGCTCTCAGACAAAACTGCTAAGAATAGGGGTGGGATGAGGAAGGGGAAGGAAGGTTGGGAGGAGAAATCAGGATGTTTCCTTTGAGGCCTCTAAAGGGCCTGGAAAGCTTGAGAGATGACCTTCTTTTCCTTTCTGTTCTCTATACCCATAGCTTTTTCTGGATGCTTCCTTCTCCACTCTTCACTGTTTAGATAAGCATAAATGCTTTCTTCTGGGGCACTTTTAGTCCCTCTGCTTGACCTCAGGTAAACCCTGCAAAATTTACTGACCCACTGTAGTTTTTTCCAGAGCTGAGCCAGCTGACCCAGAGCTGCTTATACCTGCAGCCACCACTGACTTTAGACAGAGTGATTCTGGAGTCTCTCCTGGCAGATCAGCCACTCTAGGTTGGGCAGATGAAGGTTGAGACACTTGTAGTTAGAGGATGTATTTGAAAATGTGAGGTCTAGATATCTGAGCTTCCTCAGTTATCAGACAGAAATAATTTTCTGGCATGGTGCTTGTGTGTCTCTCCACATAGTGGTCTCTAGGTGATCATCTCGTTAGATGATTGCCAGCAACTGAAGTGGTCTGCCTGAAACTGAGACACATGTGGGCCACAGATGCATTCCTGGTCGATTGTTAATGTACACTAGAATGGGTTGCCTCAACTTTAGACATCATGACCACAGTTTAAGTAAACAGAGTTGCAATTGTCTGAGTAAACAGTGCCTTTGTAGGAGTTCTTTCATTCTTACACCCAGCAAGTGTGATTAAAAATAGAAAATTAAACAAACAAAAAGCACCCACTTTTCTATTTGCTTTTTACATTTGTTTTACTCTGTGAAAAATGCCTGTCATTCATTCTGACTTGTTAGAAATTAAAGGCCAATCCAATAAGGAGAAAATAAATTTCTCTCTTCCCCAAGGATTTTGCAGATGTGCCTGTGGTGCAGAAATACAAACTGCATTTGTATTTGAACTGGCCCTCAAATTGTAAATATTGCTTGATGGCTTTGGCATCTCATTACCAGCACTTCCACAGCATTTCCAGAAGATCAGCACAGCTCCCAGCAGGAGCAGATGACAAAGTTGAATTTGACTTTCAGACCTTTCCAAAATGAATAAATAAATAAATAAATAAATAAACCAAAGCGAAGTCAAAGCAAAGAGAGTCAAGTCACTGATTATAATATCTTTAATTACAGTGTGTGGTTTTAGTGTCTAGAAATACTTGAAGGAGTTTCTAATTCAGCGTCACTCTTGAAGAGCACTTTGTTTGTACTAATGAGGTCAACTTCAAATTAATGCCAAATCTGTGTGCTACAAAGTGACTTATGTCAGCACAGTTTGTCATAGGATGAATTCATCTCCCTCTGTGTGTCTGATCACATCACACACACTGCAAAGAGAAATAACAATGATCATTGTCGAATCAACATTCCAGGCTTTGCTTGCTGTATTGCTATTGCCCGAGTTTCTAAAGCCTCCCTTCTGTTCACGAGCCATGTATGTGTTCCTTTAATGCCTCTGTTCTCTTTGCTCCATGTGACTGTTATTCACTGTGAATAGGGGCATCCTTTTATGATTCCTTATGCAGCTTCAGAGGATGGGCAAATTAGCAAACC